CTATAATATTTTAAAAGTAGACTTGTACTTTATGTAAAATCTCAATTGAATATTCAATAAAGATAGAGGCATAGCCTTACCATTAATATTTAAAAAAAAAAAAAAAATACTGTCACCTGAACTAAATTATGGATTTAAACTAAAAATTTACTTATAATTAATCAAGAGTCTTCTGAATAATAAATTTAGTCTATTTTAGGATAGCTAGCTTAAAAGTACTTGCATGAGGTTGGATTCTTTTTGATTTGTTTTGTTTTTCTTCTTTCTTTGTATTTTTTCTAGTTTTTACTTTATTCAGTAGCTTGTTATATTAGCATACATATTATATTAAATTATTAGTTTATACACTCTGCATATAAGCATTGTAACTATCCTATAATCTGTTATGTTCATATATTTCACATTTTGCTCTAAATCATTATACATTTAGTGTTTTGCATATAATGTATTATTACAAAAGTTTTTTTTTTATTTAGACTCTTTTACTCTTAACAGCTTGTTAATGTTTTTCAGTTGCTTTCCAGATTAGTACTTTATCACAAAATCATAAACCTGGAAAGTCATAATATATCTAGCCATCCTACCTGTTGGTTTAGCCATATTGTTAAGATAGGTCAAAGCAGTATAATTGGTCACTATTATGAATTAAAATCTGTGCAGTTATTTTAAAACTTCTTCAAAGCCTAGACAACAGAGGTACACTCTAATTCTGTTATTGTGTAATTCTGTTTAGCAAGTTTCATTGATCAACTGGCATACTTTACAATACTTTCAAGTCCATTATCACTAGGCTAAGATAGAACAGTGCCAAGAGCAAGATGTAATGCATCTGTATACAAAACTAATTCAGCATTATTCTGAGAGTAAGCAAGAAAGAAGGCTGAAGTAAGCCTTCTCTTCAATTCATCAAATGCTTCTTGTTGCTTCTTCTTCTAAGTGAAATTCTTTTCTATTTTTAATAATTTATAGAAAGATATAGCTATACTCAAGAAGTCTTTAATAAAATAATAGTAAAAGTCAGCCAAACTTAGAAACCCTCTTAATGTGTAAAGGTTCTTGGGTCATAGAAAGTTACTCATAGCAGTCACTTTTGATGTAGTTAAAGTTACACCTTTGCTAGAAATTCCATGTCCTAGGAACTTTATTTAATATTGCCTAAAATAACACTTGTTTGGGTTTAGCTTTAGATTTGCTTGGCACAATTTATCAAGAATGATGTTAATATTGCTCAAGTGTTTTTTAAAATTGGGAGAATAAATGTTAATATTATCTATATAGACCAAAATGAAATCCTACATCTCCTTTTGAAGTACACAATTCATTAAGTGGCAGAAGTATTTGTTAAGCTAAAAGAGGTTACTACAAACTCATAAAGCCTAAATTTTGTTGTAAATGCTGTTTTTTCACAATCATATAGATGGACTATGAATTGCCAAAATCCACTAGTAAGGTCCAAGATAGTATACCAGGTTGAGTTCTTAAGGGCTTACAGTAATTTGTTAATTCTTGAAAAAGGTAACTATCAAATTTAGTTTGTTGATTCAGCTTTTGAAAATTAACATACAGCCTTATTTTTCTATTTTTCTTTCTAATCAATATAATAGCAGATGCTTATAGCCTACATGATGGTCTGATTAACCTAGCTTCCTCCATTCTTTAATTTTCTGTTTGATAAACTTATGCTTTACCTTAGATGTAGAGTAAAATTGTTGCTTTACAAAGAACCTTTCTCTGTACAAATTTTATGTTGCACAACTAATGTTCTACCTAGTTGATTAGGTTTATAGTCAAGATATTCTTATACTTATTAAGAGCTTTTTTTTAACTGACTCTGTTGTTTGTTTGACATTGCTTCTAGATAATACCTTTCATTTCTTGTCTTTATCTTACTATTCTAACAGTCCTTTTAATGGACTTACTCATTTTACAAACAGTCTAATTCAAAATGTTCTTTTCTTAAGCACAACCTACATGTAATATTAGTCTTTTTTCTTATAAAATAGAACTTGATGTACAAATATGTTTGCTTATTAACTCTTCTTCTTCTTTGTATTCATTCTCTTCACTAAACTCTGATTTATCATTATCATTACAATTTTTGTCACTTTCTGCATTGCTTTCTTTATTTCTTTTCTCTTTTTTTTATTTATATTTTCTTTTACTATTTGATCTCTAATGTTTGCTGACTTACAATACTCAGTGAAGACCTTTATCTTCTCATTATTGTCTCTTATCATCAACTTACAAGATTTCTAATCTAATTATATTTGAGCTTTCCTCATCTAATCATTTTTCACAATCATTATATAGTTTCTGGCATTAGTTACAACAGATTAGAACATTATAGTTTTTTCTTTACAGTTATTAAGAATTCATCAATTTCTTCTAGTAGCCTTTTTTGTTCACTATATACATCTGTTATCATTACTATAAATGGGTAGTCAATCATTATGCTAGCATCTTTTAGGACTCAGCAGAGACAACACAATCAGAAGAACTACTGTTCAAAATCAAAATAATTAGTTGGCCATTTACTTGAGCATTACAGTACATTAATAATATATAGAAATCATTATTTTTATCATAAGAAAATTTGGCAAATTTTTTTTTTGTCACTTTTTCTGGCTAGAACATTTTCAATGCCTCTTTTCATATGCTTGAAGCCACCTAAATATTTGTGCTTATGTTATGTTAGCCTTCTTATTTTGCACATTTGTTATTATTGAACATGATCAGATTTTTGATATTACTGATAGTTCTACTAATTTAGTAGCCTTCCTTTTTACAGTCTTTTTACTGTTTTCTTTCTTACTTTTCTAATTGCTTACTTGCTTACTTGCTTGGTTGCTTTTATTACTACAACTATTTTCAGTTAAAAACTTTTCTTCAACACATTTTCTTTTTGCCATGTATGCTTTCTCTAACTTTACAACAAATGTTTTGTAAATAGGTGTGCACTCACACCCTCTAAAGGTGTGCTTCTGAGTTTAAATACTTGAAGTCATCATGTATTTGCACTATCATTGCTTGTGTCTTGGGTTTCTTCTACTATTCTCTATCATTTGTAGAAGCATTATTTTGATTCTGAATTGGAGTGTTGTTACTATTCTTATTACTATTGACATAGTTATTAATTGAATACTCAAAGACATCATATTCTGCTTGTTGACAGTCATAGCACAGTTTATTCAATCAGATCTGTTTTCATTCTATAAAGGATGTAAATGGTTATTGTCATTGTTATCATTATTCTTTACTGCTGTAACCAACTTATGTAGATGCATTATAACTTGCTTTATTAAAACATTTAGGGCTAGTGCAGATGCAACTAGTTGGTTTACAGGATACAATGATTAGTGTAGTGATAATATAGGTGCTTGAGTGGTTGCATAAGCTAAAGATAGTATAATGCTGACCTACATACAGATGTTTTTCCTACAAAAGTTATTTTACAGGTTTGTACTCTATCAATAGCTTCTGAAGTGTATTTGGCATAAATGGTTCTACAACTAGCAATAAGTTTGAATAAAACTCTAAATAAACATCTGAGATTTGGTTAATTCAGGATACTGGTTTTTAACTTATATTATTTAGTTAAACAATACTAACATATTTGCAGCATATTGGTCTACTGTTTCTTTTACACATTGGCTTCTTCTTAATAACTTAGTATTTTATTAGTTAATTAGAGCCAGAGTACAAAAGTTTTAATAAAACTAGTGCACAAAACTTTGTCCTAACATCACCTTTTTGTTTTAATACTATAACTTTATTTTCTGATTTCTTAAACTTTCCTACTATAGTACAGCAAAGTCAAACAGATGTGCATTTGTTATTATAATTCATCTGGTTTCTTTAATGTTATTGGCACTGAATGCTTATGTAATTAATTTAATTCATTCTACTAAATTCTAGTTCTTCTACAGAATATAGGATAGTTTACTATACTTTGCTTATTCAATTCTGATTTGGATTTTCTGATCAGTTTTAGAACATTTGCTATGATTTGCAATAATTGTATTATTTGTTGATTAGGAGCTGGTTGCTGTTTATGGTTTATTAGTGAATTCATATTATTCAATAAGCTTTTATTGCTAGAGGGCTTGCTACCTTCTCAGACATTTTCTCTATTTATCAATCTGAAATTGTGATTACTGTTTCTAGAGGTTATATCATTAAACACATTTTTCTACATTTCTTTTTATATGATTATATGATTATTATATTATGTCTTGTTCTTTTGCTGCTATTTGTTTTAAGTAATACTATTGATGTTTATATGTATTTGTTTTTCTTCTCTCACACATGCTATTACTAAGCACTCAATATTGTTTATTATACATAATTGTTATAGTTTATTGTTATATAAAGTTATACATTTATATATTTCTTCAACATTTATGATGTTGCCTAAGTCTTTACACAATTAGTACCAAAATATTGTAGTAGGAAAGAGCCTTCTCTATATAATTACCTGGTTTTAACTTAGTACTACAAGCATAAGTGAGGTCTTCACTTAGTAATCGACTAGTTAACAGATAGGTTGTGAGGATCATGTGACTACTAATGTCAGGCTCGAGGTAACTGGATAATATTTTAGGAAGTTAAAGGTTAAATGTTTAACTATACTATACAGAGTTAAGGTTTGTTACTTTTAGCTACAACAGATGAGGTTTCTTTCTATCTCTTTATTGTAAACTTGTCAAAATGATTTTTTTTATTTATTGAGCATGCACTTTATTTATACAAATTTTATATAATGGGTTTCAAACCTTCTACTGAGGTTCCAAATCTGTACATCAAAAAATTTTATTACTAGATATATATTGATATATAATTTTATATCAATAAATATTGTTGAAAATATATCAATATATATCGATAAATATTGTTAGAAATATATTGATATATATCAATACATGCATTATATTTGATATTTAACTAATATTGGTAAATATTGATTATTAGATGTTCATCAATTATATCTTGATATCAATAATCATTGAATTTATTTAATCACTATTATTCGATACTATTATTATTACTTGATATATATCTTACATATTGTATAATATACACTTTAAATTAATTAACTAATTATTTCAACACTTTAAATTAACTAGATTCTTTAAATATATACTTTAAATTAGAACATAAAACTGTTTACTAAATATTTATTTCTTCTTTTAAATCTTGGAACTATATGTACAGTTTTATTTATGCTCTCTAAAGATATACAACTATAGTGTTTTAGCAGCTTTAGTTTGGAACATCTACATACTTTACCATTTTTATTATATCAGCAAATTAAAGTGAATTCAAGTAGCTCTTTATTTGCTTGATTAAAATTAAGTATTAGCAGCACCTTGATAGATAATGATCATGTTAATTATATTACTCTCTAAGTTAGACAAAAATGACAATATTTTTTAACTTCAAGAATTATTATAATTATTAATATTATTAACATGCTTTTATTGCTTTATTGTTAGATTGTATTAATAAAATAACTTATAAATATATCAATACTTACCAAGCTATACTAATTTATTTTTTTTTCTCTGTTACTTTTATTAATAATAATGTTATAAAACATTAGACTTCTATAAAACTTTGATATAGCCTGAATTGTATCAGTACTTTCTAAAGAAGCTAAAGAAAATATCTTCATATAATTATTATTAGTAAGAGATATTACTGATTCTTCTTCAAAAAATTCATCGAGACCTGTTAGTAATTTTGAAAATCTTCAACTTGTAATGAGTTCATATTATTTTTGTTATTTTCAAGAAAATTATCTAGCTTATTTAAACCTAATAACTATAAAGATTTACCAAACATTTTTGCTTTATGATATTTTTTTGAGCTCTATGTTCTGTTAGTTGCTACCATTTAACCTATTTACAATGATTATTAGCAATGTTTAGTAAAAGTTTACTATATATCAAACTTATAGTATTTATTATTTGTTTCATATAGTCTTTTTTATTAGATATGCAATAAGGGATTTTTATATAATCTTTATAAAAAGTCTTATAAGTCTCTGTAGCCATACTATTTATAGATCCATACTCTTCAATTACAGGTACTATAAGATAGCATCAAGCATGAAGTTTAGGAAGCTGAAGT